AAGAAATTAATATTTCAAAAAGTCTTCAGCAAAAAAGAGAAAAAAAGATAAAGAGACTGTTGCAAGTGTTATCCTTCCTATGTTAAAGTGGATTAAAGTTTATTCTGCTTTTTTGTTCTGTCAAGGTGATGATAGTCTTTTAACAAATATGACACCGCAACTAAAAGTCTTCAGAAGAAACTTCAGTATATATAATCATATCAGCACACTGGTACAAGAGCTTTATCCTTTTTTTTTTATGTCTTTAGCACACATGATTTTCCAGAATTTTTCTTCTCCAGTCCTTCCAAACGGTTGAGAACATCATCATCTAAACTAATTAATTCTTATTTTGTAGGTTAAGATGCCCTGTTACTGACACGCTGCTCTGTACAATACAACAGGTCTAGTTTGTGCAAACAAGCAGAACTGTGCTCAAAATCAGCCTTGCTGAGCGGACATACTTATTTCTGAGATGGCGCTGGACAAGGGCGCTGTGGAAAGGCAGAAGAAAGAGGTAAAGGTAGCAGACGTACGGGTTTGCAGAGCCGGGCATCCCCTTCCTGACACCATTTGGGCTGCAGCCTGTGGAGTGAGCACCAAAGTCTCCAAAAGCAAAGCAGCCAGTGTACTCGTCTGTGAAAATGGGTGATTTTTGGAGAGAAAAAGATGAATAAATGCATACTAGATCTTTCATTTACCTGTTAAGAGGCATTCAAGGTCTTTTGCGAACAACTTCAATATATATATTTCTTACAGATAGCAATTAACCTTCTGGTACAGATTAATCTTTAAAAAAAAATCAAAGATGAATTAATATTTGAAATTCAAGTATTCAGTAGTTTAATTAATAATCTGAAATTGTCCTTTAGATTTCCCATAATTAGACCATTCCCCTAATTTATTAATCCCACCGACTGCAGAGCATGTTTCAAATCTTCATCTCCTGCCACAATGACATATTCAAACTTGCTTGAAGTACTCATAATAAAAGTCACTTTGTGAAGAATTATTAACTCAAAGGATCAAGCAAAGTCTTTATATACTAAAGCATATTTGAAAACTAAGCAAGGATAGCACTTTCTACTCATCCTCACAATTCCTAAGATCTTGGTTGAATCAGAAACAGGTTTGGATAAAACACTGAATTTAGGATAATTAGCTGCTATAAATTCGAGGCCAAAGATAATAAATGTGCTGGTACCTATGGATTAAATCTTCTTTTCTGCCAAAATACACTGATTATGAGATACAAGGCAATTGTCTGAGAGCTAATAATGACTGCTTATTGCCGGTGTGTCTCAAACTTTGACCGATTACCTCTGGTCCGGGGCTGTTCCTGCTCCTGGCAGATGTGCATGGTCCTGAGGGACCATGTAGGGGAGAACCCACACAAGGACCCCTGCTCTGACACCTCTCCCAACGCTGTTCTTCTGCTCGTTAAAAGGGGGTCACGGGGGGCAGGATTCACACCAGCTCCGAAATCCCTACAGCCAGGAAAGCTCTCAAACAGCAAACGCTGCATCGTCTTGTCACAGCCTAGGCAGCGTGAAGAAGCCAGGACTAAAAACACCTGGAGCTATATAGGCACCTATTGCATTCCCTCATTTGCACCAGGTTACGGAGCTGATTGTGCCACTACTTGGTTTACTTATTTACTTGCATGCTGGGCTGCTGGGTTTGAGAGCAGAGGATTAGCAAGTCCGCCTGCACACAGACGTGGTGTTTCTGCAAGTCTCGCTGCAGCCTTGCTGGGTTGCGATACCTGCTCGGAGCAGGCAACTGTGGCAATACACACAGCATCCAAACCCTGAGCAAGAACAAAGCCTAAACACAGAAATTAAATGGACAATGCCTTAAGCATAGCACAACTCCTCCTGATGAACATCACATGTTTTAGCTAGGTGGAAAATGAGATAAACCGTGCCTTACCACTTAACCCCTCTCCTGTCCTCCATCCTCCACACGTCCCTGCAGGGTATGCTGAGTATGCCCTCCGAGTTGGGAAGAACAGGTAATCCACAGCCTCCTTGATTTCCAGAAGAATTGGATCTTTTGACTAAGGAAAAAACTTCCTCCCTCTGCTGTTGCATTTCTGTTGCTTCTGGCATGAGTTTTCTAATTAGCGTGAGTTTTGATTGGCACCCCAAGCACCACGTTAATCTACTCGCATGGCAGCAGCAGGATCGTCACGAGTGTGCTCTCCCATCCCTTCCTCCGCGTCCCTGCAGTGTTACAATGGCACAGCACACATCGCCGCGCTTGACTGCTTTTGCAAAGATACTGCATAATTACACACCTCAGTCAGGCCACGTATATTTGGACCCATTTAAATATACTTAATACTTGAAGTACACTGATCTTGGTAATACTTCTCTATCTTGTGAAACCTCCTGTCCCTTCTGTTCCTCATTAGAGAGGACTGTTCACTTCATGCATTCAGACATGACCCTTGACCACTGAAATGTTTTTAAATAGATAGATCAAGGAGCTACTAACGACACCACAGCCGTGAGTCAGTAAAATCACTGCTGCTTATCACTTCTTCAGGAGGCTCTTTCCAAACCCTGATATTACAGCAATCACCTGACAGCCTGGTTAATCATTTCTTTTGCATAAAATGTCCCCAAGGAGGCACAGCCACATCAAGCACCAGGAAAGCAACCCCAAAACTGCTGCACCCTCAACACCATCTCCGCGCACAGGCAAATCCCATTGCAACGTGACCCCCCCGCCCCAAAACAGCACCTGGGAGATGGTGACAACAGATCCCCGAAGTTGGGGGACAAGGTGCCATTTCCCCACGGGGGATCAAGGTCAGGGACCTGTATCTCCAGGCAGCACTGCTCCATTAAATAACTAGACAACAGGATCTTCTTACACTGCCCAGGGTTTTAAAAACCCAGGGAACTTGTTGACAGGTATTAAATGCCCTCAGAACTTCACCTAAGCCTTATCTGTGTAACACAAAAAAGTTCAGGACAGCCTTAAGAAGAAAAAGCGGCTCTACTGAATCAGAGGCAGCACCAGGGATTGGATTATTCCAGTTTCCAGATAAGGCAGGCTGTGTGTATGAGGGAAAGTTTATGCACTATCTTAATCTTGTAGGTGTGACCTATATCACCCTGCATGCAAAGCTGTTTTAAGCAGAGTATTCTTTTGTTTTTATGCTTTATTTTTTTATGAAGGATGTTGAATTACATGTTGTCCATATGAACAGCTTCTATCATTAATTTAATTCTACAGAAGGTCTGTAAAATAATGCAGTATTATTCAGCTAGAGTTTGTCCTTGACATAGAGAACATATTTCTGGTATGATTTTGCAACAGTGGATATTTGTAAATGAAGTATGAACACTGGCATTTGTCACTTCCTGCAGTATTAAATCCAAACCCATTTTCTTTAATACCACATAAATATGCATTTGAATGAACAGACAAATTATGTAAATATAGGTTCCTTCTGTGATATCAACATAATGAAACAATTCTGGATTCCCCCTCTAAAGCCCCTTTTTTCTAAGCGCCGCTGTCTTCTCCACTCAGTCCTCGGATGACGCTGCCAAGAGCGATCCGTCAGCTGCACGGTGGCAGCTTGGGAGCGAGCTGGTGTTCCACCTTACAGATAACGCAGGCAATCTGCAAAAGCAGAGCGTATGCTGTGGAACCAGCTTTGCAACAACCGAGGAGATGGAAACCTCCGATGGCTGCTTCAGAGCAACGCCTGTCCCGTCCTAGTCCTTTCCTTTCATGCACTTACTAATCTGGCTGGTGATTTATGTAATTAAGTGAACTGTGGATTGCGTTATGCTGTTTTTATTTAACGCAATGCCAGGGCAGTTACAGGGTGGGAGATCTGTGAGTTCATTTTGGGAATACAATAGAGCTTATTCTTGTGCAGTGACGATGGGTTCCCAGTCAGGATATATCATTGTACGCTTCTGGAGATGGGCCTTGCATATATCACCAATAAGGAATTACGTCTTCTGCTTATTTTTCCTTACCAGTACAGGAAGCAACTTCAAATATTTCAGTTTTGAAACCTTTATGATTCTGGATTGCAAATCGGCTTGCATGGATTTATGCCTGTATTCCCTGAAGTGCCATCTAAAGTCCTCCTATGTTCTGGTGTCTCTGGGGAAATTTAGAACTATTGACCCTAAAGAGTAAGTTACCAGGATAAGGGTATGAGCACACTGACGCAGCAGTCACACCTTCAAGACAGCTCTGCTCTATGTTTTGTACCAGAAGAGGAAAGGAAACTGTAAAATTAGAGACTTCTGTCAACAAAATTATCATGGTTCAACTCGAGACCATAAGCCTGACCCAGCGCAAGACACAGGATTTCCCTGTCCTCTTGGAACGTCTCTCACTGACAATGACATTGTCCAACACAGTTTGGCCTTCTTGGGACACCACTAAATGAAACCAGTAACAAGAAAAACGTGATGCATCACAGCAAAGGTGTGATGTGCCTCGCACCATACTGCTGAGTTTGTTGCCTCCATATCCCAGGCCAGTAATCTTTGAGCCTTCAGGTAAAAGATTATGAATTTTCTCAACTGAATTGGTCAAGAGAAATGCTAAAGAAAAGCAATACAAATCAGGCAGCGATCTGAAAGGTGAACAGCAATAGTATGACACAAGTCAATGTCTGGTAACAAGCAGTCTTCACAGAATTTCTGGCTGTGGAGAGATAAAAGCTCAGCATTTTAAAATCTGTCTTCTACCCATGTCAACATAATATAATGCCGTCCAGTGGAATAGGAGGAGCTTGATAAAACTCAGGGTTTTCTATTTTCTCCAGAAATGACTGAAAAACCACTAAGGTTTCAAACTCTCTGAAACTCCTTAAGCAATTTAGGAACGAGAGTATCTAGGAGCCATTACAGAGGCATTGCAAAGAACCGGAGCAGCTTTAGAATCAAATATATGTTCTAGAAAAATAACGTAACATTTGGTACAAAATAACATTCATTACTTCTATAGCGTTTGCTGGAGGGAGGATGGGCATTGCCTACCTGCCTCTCTGGAAATTTGCATGAAGGACTCGACTCCTTTTTCTCCATAATTCCCTTCAGATGCCAAAGTGGACACATAATTCCATCCCAAAGCTTTCACAATGTCCACCATTGCTTGTGCTTGGAAGGAATCTGGTGGAACCACACGTGAGAAGAAATCATAGCGCCTGTCATCACTCAACTCTGGTGCAGTTGAGGCATAACTGATTTGTGGGATCTGTAGAAAAAAATAATTTCTGATAAATATACATATTCATATACTCATTGCACTTCTTGCAGCAGTTAGCTAAAGCAGTTATCTTCAGCTGAGCCTCGGTTCGTCTTTGTTGTATCCATCTGTATTTCTCCACCATGTTCCTTTACAACATACAAGTCAAAGAAACAATCTTTTCATTGACTTCAAGTTACACAAAAAAATCATTAATCAATTGAAAACAACTGTATATGTGCACATTCATAATTGCTTCCTTTCAGGCAATCTTAATCAAATACAGCACACACAAACAATTTTTCTCACTATGTCCTTTTTATTGGTGTTCTGGTTTTACTAGCATCAGGTTATTTGGGATCCTGAATGCAACCAAGTTTAAATCTATACCTGTCATCGCTGGCTGAAAGCCAGAAGGACCCTTCATCGGTTTTTGGAGGATGAAGAAGCTCTTAAACATTAAACTGCAACTCCAGATTTAAACAAAAATATGTTTATTTTTTATTCTTTCTGATGAAGAACAGTCATGAAGATTGCTGAGCATGGACATCTCTGTCCCACAAAGACAACCTGGTCACGATTCAGCTCTGTCCTAAAACTCTGCCTGCCTATGACAAACCAGCTCTTGCTTTTCCTTCTCATGGCAGAGCGCGAAGGAGGCTGACGATGACTTTTTATAACAGAGAGACTAGAATATTGTTCAGGGCTATTTTCTCCTTGACAACAAAGGTCCCTAAGCAGTTATCAAGCTGACAGCATGTTAATCCCAAAACACATTATGCAATTGTTTGAGTAACAGTCTGGGACTGTTCCTTAAATTAAGGAACCTGCCATAATTCTCACTTGAGATGCCAAGGAGGGAAAAAAAAGATTTGCAATATACACAAACATGATCATATATAATGATTTGAGAGTTCTAGACTGCAGAAAGGTCAGTATTTCATGCCTCAGTACAAGCATCTTCTGCATTCTCATATTCTGTCTCTGCACAGCATTCCTACAAGTATTTATTAGCTCTCCTGCCTTCTCGAAGAATAAACATTGTATTTCCCCAGGCTCAATACTGCAAAGGGCTCGGCGCCTTCGTCTCCCACAGAGGTCAATAGCAGCTGAGAGCAAACGCAGCATTTCCACAGAATACACACTATATCTGTATATCTGTATGTACATTATCAACTACTACAGCAGAGTAAAAGCAGATCTGTAAAGCAAAACTGCTGCTGAAGGCCCAGCAGATAAGTGAATTTATCCAAACCATCCATAACTATTAAATACCCCAACATTTGTTGAGACACGTTCCTGTTTGTAAAGGTAGTATCTACTGATTTATTATAAACCATAACGAATCATAACACATGACTTATTTAAGATCCATTTAGCTTCATTCAGCATCAGCCTAGAGTGGAACATGGCTCGTGGTCCTTGCTCAAAGCCCTGCACCGGCGGGACCCCTGCGCAGGGAGCGTGCTGAATCGGGGCCCAGGTGTAGTACCACTCTTACTTGCTATGAATTATTAAACCTAAACAAACACTTAAACTTTCAGTGGCTGCTCGGGCTGTCACTCTGGATGTTGGAGAACTGAATCCCCCGTCACTTGGCACGGTCTTTCCTTCGGATGCGTCACGTCACCCCTTTGCATGTCTGCTGGTTTTACAACCAGAGAGGTGGCTAATCAAGCTGAAAGCTGGGATGCTTGAGGTTTTTAATGCAAGACAGCAGTTGTCTACAAAGCCTTGCCAGATTTATTTTAGATCTGTGGCTTGTGGACAGCACGTTGCCAGCAAGACCCTCCAGTGCTCCAGTCACAGAAAATTAAGAAAGTTAAATTTGAGGCTGCCAGGAAGAACACAGCATGGTGTTGACCACTAGTACATGATTTACTTGCTCAGTATTTCACCTAGGGGCCAGAAAGGCTTGGGGACCACTCTCAGAGACAAATAGATCGATTAGACCAATTTATGAGGGTTCTTTATTTTTAATCTACCTTAGGGATGACTTTCAGCTAACACCAACTACCGCGGTTGCACAGAAAATGCTGGGCACCCTGGCCATCAAAAATAATTGAAATTCCTAATTTGTCTGTGCCTGCAATTGCTGTTGCAATAAATGATTGGTGACATTTTAGGATCGCTCTCTTCTCATTTGCACAAAGCAGTTAACGGAGCTTGCTCAGCTGCTTATCAGCTTAATTCATCTATTCATTGGATGGTATTATATTAAGTGGAACAGTTAACCAGGCTGACTTTATGGGTGCTGTATACCCATTATTAATTAGACAAGCATCCAGTACACAACATACAGTCCCACACACAGAGCCGTACTGAGATAGCCAAGTGCTGTTTTTTTCATTATAAATAAAGAAAAGGATGAAATATGAATTTTTGTCTGTGGCAAGTGTTTGTATTCTAATTTGCCAACAACTGCTTTTTCAACTAAAAATCAAAAGGAGCATATTCTACACTTTTACAAAAAGCAAAGCATCTACAGATTTTGCTCTATTGCTTATATCACTAAGAAGACTTCTTGTTTTTTTAGTCTTTTTCCTCTGTCCATAAAATATTAACCACTTCTGGCTGTTTCAATCACTTGCAGTATAAAAAACATATATAGGGGTTTTTTTACCAATGTTTCTTGCAGGATATCTAAAAACAACATAAAGTTATAGGTCTGAGTAGAATTTTCATAAGATTTTTTCTGAATATGGGGAGAAAAGTACTTAAATGGATACAACATAGACTGCAGCCATTAGAGTTCAACTTTGTCCAGTATGTCAGAGCATGTTACACCTAGGAAAGACGTTTTCCCTTCCCGCATGTCTTCCCACGCATGCAGGCGGCATCCCAAATGTCTGAACTGAACATCTGTTTGCATCAGCTGAAATCTAGAGATTCAGCATTTCTTCTTCTCTTCCTTTTTTAACATTCATATCCAATTGGATGTGGACAAACCTCTCATGGAGTCAGCTGGAAACCTTTCTCCCGTGCTTCACACCATATGTTCCTCTGCGTTACTGCTTTGTTTTTAGTGAGAGTGACTTTAGTCTGAAAAACACAACATCACGCTAACTCCAGCCAAATCTCAATGGCCAGGCACCCTCTCCTCGCTGAGATCTCTTCACGGGGCTTATGCTAATCAGACCAACATCCAAAAGACAACATACAGTGCTGCTACGTGCTGATGGCTGCTCACCAGGTAAGCTCACAGAAATGCACCTTCAGCTCCTGTGAACGTTGAAGTGCGCTTGAAAATAAAAATGGATTGACCCAATTCACCAAGACCCAACTGCAAGCTGGCCAAACTTCACAGCTCTCTGTTCCCAAAGATTATGAAGATGGTCTCACCATGCAAGGGGGGTGAGGAGGGGGGAGGGCAAGGGAGAACAAGAAGGGGGGCTACAATTTGATTACTCTCTCTGATCATTAAATTCATCCCCTTGGTCCACCTCTCTCTCAAACACGCTGGTGTTTCTCGAGACTGGCACCGGCCTCTTCCTCAGGGCAGGAGGCTGGAGCCTCCCCAGCCTCCTGGCTCACATCACGCAAGCAAGCCTCCTCCTGCCCCAGGGGCCAGGAGTGCGGTGGCTGGATGCACACAGGCTGGATTTCAGTTTTACTAAGGTGAAGCCTTAGTAAAGCTATCCACGTAAAACCACAGTTAAATAGCTGGATGTTTAATAACCAACTCTTCTCTGACCAGTTTGTAAAACCTGCATTTAACACTGCAGAAAGGTGCTGAAGGATCAGCCCTGTAATGGGAAGTTTCCCGTTCATGCACAGACACAAGATGAAGGAGTGAAACGCAGAACAAGCTGCAGTATGATGCCAGGGATGCCTGAGCTGTAAAGATAATCTTAAATGTAGTCCTACTGCTACCTAGCGTGTCCCCTAAATGTCCTCTCAGATGTACCAATCATTGCCAGTCTTCTTTCTGTTTTGGTTTTGAAAGCTGCTGATATGGTTCAGGCTTGCAAACAAAAGCCGTCTGACAGTACTGGCTAGCCTGTGCCATGCTCTAACCGCACGAAAAATTGGGAGTTTGCCCACTTCACCCAACTTACGCACTAAATAGATAGCACCTCAATAAAAAGGTTTGCACTCCTCCTTCCCTATAGGTTTCCCCATTCTTACAAGTTTTGAAACACATCACTCTTCTTCTCTTAAGGCATACTCATTCTCCTTTTGGTCCTGCAGGGGTCCAGTTTGAGACATCACGTCCCGCTGCCATGGGAACAACTGGGCTGTCAACAAACCCAGCAAGCATTACAATGACTGCATGTCAGGATCACAGCACAGAGTTTTTTAAATAAGGTTGTTTGGTTTTTTTTTTTAATTAACCAGATAAATATCTTCTGTCTCTTAACTGATCTATTTTTCTTTCATTTGGTAAAATCTGCTATTTGTCATCGATATCTCACATTCAAAACTTTAGTTTAAAGAAGCAAGCTTTCTCTTCCATCACATTTTTCTATTTTCTGTTCTGAAACATTTGAAACATAAAAAAGCTCTAGGGAATTACAGTCTGCTTTCCAAATGGCTCTAACATCCTGGCAGAAGAGTTGTGATCCATAAAGCACAGGGGATAAAAATCCCCCTGGCCCTTACACAGCAAGACTGTGAGTAAGAAAAGCCTGTGGTCCTCCATGTACTGCATAGCAGCCAGCGTTTGCAGAAGAGGCATCCTGCCTGGGCCTTCACCACCATAACAAGACACGGTGGTAGCTGGAGCTTTCTGCAGGACACTGAGGTGTCAGCAGATGAGTAAGCAGATCACTGATGTGGGAGGCAGATTTTCCTGAAGGCAGTCTTCGTGTTTACAGGACTATGGCAAACATCACGCTCAGGAGTTTTACATGTCGTTTGCCTGGCTCATGTTCTGATTACAGTAAGAGTGAATGATTAACGCTGGGAACATTGCATTAGTCAGTGATTAATTAATGTTAATTTATTTTTTAACATTGAACATTATTCTTCATTTACTTCATTTTCTTCTGTTAATGAAAAGCTCTCTC